GGCGTCGGCGAGGACCAGGTGGGCACGAGGACGCACTTCTTCGGTTGGAGGCGGAGGCCAGCGTGGTAGCGAGCAGCTTGAAGGTGTGGGGGAAGAGCGCCAAGATCTCGAAGTGCAGCAAGAACGATACCCAAGTCGTCGGCGCAGGCGCTGAGAAGGCCTCTGCCCAGGGCGGTGAGTTCCAGCTTGAGACCCTTGATGATGGGATCGAAGACGAGCGCCCAGAGCGTGCCGCTCAAGGGACATCCTTGAGCAACTCCTGATTCTGCGAGAAGCAGCGGCCGGCGGATCCCACCAAGCTCGAGAAAGGCAAGTGGCATGTTGTAGCAACTTCGCAAAAGATTGAGAAAGACGCCGTGGATGCCCCATCGCCGTAGAGTGGCCCACAACCACGCGTGCGTAAGACTCGGAAACGCTGCAGCAATGTCCATGCTGGTGAAGCAGGGCATCAGGGCGGGGGCGTCGCTGTTGATGCTGGTGAGACGGGCGATGGTGTCAACCTTGGCGATGTTGGATAGAAATTGACGGCCATTGACAAAGCCTTGCTGCTCTGCTTCGGTGTCCGACGCGACGGAGCTGAGGATGCGATTCGTGGCGGAGGCGATGATCCTGATGTCACTGCTCTTCATGGCGAGGGGGCGGAGGCAGTCAGGGCTGCGGGAGCACTCGTAGTTGCCCATGGGCTCGTCACCCTTGGGAAGCATGGCCATGAGCGCGTAGTTCAGGTCGTAGGGGATCGGGCCGCCGTGAGCAATGGAGTGGAGGAGATCGTGGAGAATGGCGATGCTGCCGTCGGATCGTACCCAGGCGCGGTAGGGAAGTCCGTCAGGTCCAGGAGCTGAGTCACTGGCGAGCCTAGCTGCAGCTTGGAGTTCATCAATCCCAGGTAGAGGCAGATGCCGTGGAGGTGCTAGTGGGAGGACCCTGTCCAGGTACTGCTGCATCGCTGGGGTGTCTACTGGCTTGGCAGCAAACACCTTCGACCAGTGAGATTGAATAGCGCTGTGCATGCTCATAGGGTCGTTGGCGAGAGTCGGGCCACTGCTGTCGGTGATGCGGACGCCTGCTAGGATCAGGCGCTTCGAGAACGGCTTCCAGATCTCACTGCGCTGTCCAATACGGCGGGCACGACGTCTCCATTGTTCCCCTAGGTCAGGCCGTTGTTCAGCGTAGGCAGCTCGCGAGCGGGCGGCAGCAGCACGACGACGCTGTTCCGCAATCTGATGTTGCATGGCGGAATGCTCCGTCTCGAAGGCGGTGCGGTCGACAAGAGAGATCGTGTGGTAGTGGATGTCAATGTGCTGTGCCCTTGCGGTGGTGTCGTTGCGAAGCCGCTGGGCAAGAGTGAGGTCCTGGTGCCAGATGGCCCTGGCAATACTGTGGAGCGTAAGCGCACGTGCCTCTGCAATGGCGTGAGAGTCTTCCCTCTGGCTCTCGATCGGCATGAGCTCGGAGGCGGAGAAGGTGGTGATGGTGTCGCGAGGCTTGCGCGCCGCCAGCTTCATTATGTGCTTCATTGTCCGCCAGTTCGAGATGGAGTCGGCAGAGAGGTCGGCCATCTCGACAATGCGCTGGAAGTAGAACTTGTAGTGCTTGGACTCGAAGAGGAAAGCAGGAGGAGGAGGAGGAGGAGAAGGAGGAGGAGGAGAAGGGGGGGGAGGGGGAGGAGGGGGAGGAGGAGGGGAAGGAGGAGGGGAAAGGGGGAGGAGGAGGGGCAGGAGGAGGGGGAGGCGGGGGAGGAGGAGGAGGAGGAGGAGGAGGAGGAGGAGGAGGAGGAGGAGAGGAGGAGAGAAGGAGGGGAAGGAGGAGGAGGAGGTGGCAGCTGGGACGACAGAGTGTATTGCAACATAGCTGGTCCTTCTCCTCCTCCTCCTCCTCCTCCTCCTCCTGCCTTCCTCCTCCTCCTCCTCTTGCCTTCCTCCTCCTCCTCCTCCGCCTCCTACTTCTACTCTCGATCCGAAAGACAAGCCGCAAGACGCTTCTAAGCACATCGGTTCGCATGTTTCCGAAGAGACTTGTGGGCACATCGACATCGCCGCAGGCACCGATGTCTCAATGCAGCGGGGAGCGTGTTTTGATGATACGTAAGAGATGACGCCCGTTACCGCGGCCGCCCCCCCGGTAACGGACGCCACGATTCACGCCGCCGTGAATCTCGGTAAAGGGCCTACGGGGGCTTCCAGAAACCTCGAGGCACCCCGGGAATCTCGAAGGCCTCCAAGAAATACTCCAGCGACCTACGTAGGGCTGCGGAGGCCCCCAAACGACGTCGCTCGTCGTCATCGTCGTCGCCGCCGCCGCCGCCGATGTCGCCGTCTTCGTCGTCGTCGTCGTCGTCGCCGCCGCCGCCGTCGTCGTCGTCGCCGTCGTCGTCACCGTCGTCGTCGTCGTCGTCGTCGTCGTCGTCGTCGTCGTCGTCGTCGTCAGGCTTCGTCGCCGTCGTCCCCAGCCATTCCGAGACGCCGCGGGCACAAATGGTGATGCTGCAAGGCCTCTTCCCTCGGCATGGCCGCCAGAATCCCCCCCCAGCCTGCCACCACGCCGCGGGCGCCCTCTGAAAGACAGGAAGGCAGAGGGAACGCAACGACTTCTGCGCGCTCCGAGGCGACCAACACGTGCCCGACACGGCAAACGGACTTGCTCGAGCAGAGACCTGCGAATTCGATCATACAACGTGAAATATTTCATGTGTACACACACTCACGTGAACCACGCGCGCGCTACGCTCAGGTCGAGTGTGTCCCCCGACACGCGGATTTTGGAGGAAAAAGAACAAATACCCCAAACATGCTCGAACAGATGCAAATACAGCAGTCGAAAAAACGTCCCTATACTATGTTTGACTATTTTGGAAGATTCCTCCTGTAGAGGGACACGCCCGCCTTAACGCTACGCTCGCGCCAAAAGTTCTGGTCGACTCCGGCGACGCCGCCCGGCAGGCACTGGGCCAGGCCAACGACATGTCTTGGAGCTGGTTCCCTCTTGCGCTGGCCGGATACTCGGGCGGCTACTGCGAGACTCATGGGCGGGCCCAAGAGGAGAGGCAAAAATAGGGTGTTGCTAGAAGTGCCCCTGGCCCAAGGTGCCCCCAGCTTGCCGCTCCATGTTTGAGCTCCTGGGGCCCTCTGGGCCTCGTGAGGGGTGCCCTGGAGGCCGTCTGGGCCACCCCGAGAATCCTGGGGGGACCTTGGGCCAGGGGTACTTCTAGCAACACCAGAAAAAAGGCACCGATACCGCTACTCCCCGGACCTCCCCTAGGGTGCTTTCCGACCAGAGTTTCGAGGCGAATCCAGCGGTGACGACGAGGGCCTCCCAGGAGGCCCCAGAAGGGGAAACGAGGGAAGAGTAGATGTGTGCAGAGGAATCCAGCTAGACTGATATTCGGGCGGCTGCTGCAGGACTGGAGGGCGGGCCCGAGGGTACAGAAAAGAGCCCAGAAACAGGCGGCGGGCAGCCCCCCGAAGAAGCAGAGGGCGCAGGGGGCAGTCTGGGCGCAAGACGCACCCCGAACGCAGGGCCTGCGACGTCGCGACAGGTCGGCGGGGAACAGGAGCCCAGTGCGAGAACGGCGGCGGGGACTATATGTTCAGGGGGCGCGTGGGTGGTTTTCAGACGCGGCGCTGGGACCCTAAGGGGTCGGTGGTGCGGCAGAAGCATGGGAATCTCTGGTCGGACCAGGCCCTCTGTTCTGAGCGATCGCGCTCCTGGGCGCTATTGCGCGCTCTCAAGCGCCCCCCAAGGATCCCCGCGTGACCATTCCAGAAGCATCAGGTCCGTGCCGGAGACCTCTTCGGGGCCTCTTGGGTTGCCTTGGAGGCCCTGGGGGCCTAACCAGGAGGCCCAAACCGCTTTCCGTTCACACGCAAGCGTTGTCAAATGAGTTTCGCATGCTCGTCTTCTCCGTTGTAAGGGCATCGGTGAGTGCACAAGAGGGCCCCAGGAGAGCCCCAAGACGGCCACCGAGGCTCCCGATCGGCCAATCAGGGAACCCCAGAGGAAAAACTCGAACTGACATCTGGAACCCGCCACCCCAAGATGACCCGCCAGAAGGCCGTGCCGGGGCCCCAGGGACCCCCAAGAGGCTCCAGGAGGTCACTAAGAAAATTCAAAATGGCCCACATGAGGCCCCAGAGAGATCCTCCGAGAGACGTTCCAAGAGACCCGAAAAGGCATGTAAGAAGCCTCTTGCAAACGATAGGGCCACGGTGGCGGGTTGGTCAAAGGGGCCAACGGCTATTCTGTATACGCAGACGGTTCTATGTATGCATGTAAACGTACATACATGTATGGACGTGTATGTATACTCATATACTTACATATCTGTAGCATTCGCACACATGGGTGACCTTGATATGCGCGCTTGTTCGAGAGAGTCTAACTCAGAGACAACTATGGTGAGACCGTCCGCACTTGTTCTGGCCGCTTTGCTCGGGACATCCTGACACATCTGACATCCGGACGCGCGCCTCACGCACAGATCGCGACATCGGGGTCCCACAACCCAAAGGAAATTCAACCCCAAACATGCAAGTCATGCAACAACGCAATATAATCAAAGTGCGTTTCACATATGTGTGTATCCATTGGTATGTTCAATTGTTCCAAGTGTAGTGCTTCAGCAGTGTACAAGGGTACTTGTCAGTGGAACCCATACATGTTGCACATAACTGCGGGGAAAACAACAATGATAGTTGGTTCCTAGTTTTAGTTCTTCATGCCCACGGGTGCGTCTGATCATGTCGCCTACTAGCAAGCAGTGGCAATTACATCGGTGCCCCCCAATGCATGTTGCATGAGGATGGGCACGCATGCGCAACTTGTATATGCTCTTGTGTGTGGCGTGTATGCGTGAATATGCACACTTCGATGTCAAGTCCTTCGGCGGTTGCTCCTCTGCGATGTCCCCGAGCTCTGGGTTGCCAGTGGCGATGGACTCCCGGGGGATCAGGTTGTAGATCTCCATGATTTCGTCCCACCTGGTCAGAACTGTCGCCGCGATCTCACGCCGCGCCTCCGTGGATAGTTCCAGGAACGTCTGCACGCAGCCTATCAGCCTTGTCATGTCGATTGTAGAACTTCCCTCCAACATCGGCTCTGCCCAGTTTGCCTGCCACATGAGCGTCATCATCGTCCGGCCGAGGTCGCGCACCACCTGTACACGTGGTTCATTTCTAATCGTGCTCGTTTCTGATTGTGTTCGTTTCTAGGTGTTCCTGGCCCCGTAGTGGCCAGGAAGAGGCCCAGGATAGAGCAATGAGAAACGAAACGACCTTGCCCCCCAAAGAATATCAAATAACGTCCGAATACTTAGAAATGAGCAATGAGGTAGAGTTCGAGCGCAGGTAGAAAGAACAATTTAAATAAGCCCTCCAGCCTGCTGCTCCCTCCCTCCGTCCCCTCGTCCTCATCCTCTTCCGCCTACTTACTATCCTCCTCCGCCTCACCATCATCATGATCAACCTTCTGACTGCGCCGCTCAATTTCGCGGAGCCGGCGTGAGACACGAGAGAAGCTGGGACCAACGTTCTTTGGTCCCAAACCAAAAAAACATTGGCCTCAAAAAAAATGTCTCGGCCTCACCATCATCGCGATCAACATCCCGATGCTGCCCCTGCCGACGCTCGTGCTTAAGCGCTGTCGTCGAGCCGCGCCAGGGCTAGAGAAAACAATCTACTGCTCTCGCTGAGGACGCGGCGGCTGGCGGCACGACGGCTAGCACAACATCTGCGACCGATGCCGCGAGGCACGGGTTGGAGTGTCCTCGGGTCCGGTGTTTCCAGGCCAAGAGGAGGAGGAGGAGTGAAAGAGGAGGAGGATGAGGAGGAGGAGGAGGAGGAGCACGGCGGCAGAAGGAGGAGGACGAGGAGGAGGAGGAGGAGGAATAGGAGGAGGAGGACGGCAGCAGGAGAAGGAGGATAGTGAGGAGGAGGACGAGAAGGAGGAGGAGGAGGAGGAGGAGGAGGAGGAGTGACGCCACGGGCGGTGGCGCGCCCAGCGGCTCGGCCAAGGAAAGAAGAGGAGGAGGAGAAGGAGGGATGAAAGAGGAGGACGAGGAGGAGGAGGAGGAGGAGAAGGAGGAGGAGAGGAGGAGAAGGAGGAGGAGGAGGAGAAGGAGGAGGAGAGGAGGAGAAGGAGGAGGAGGAGGAGGAGAAGCCTCACCAGTAAGAATGCTTTTCAAACATATGCCCAGACTGCCGAAGGCCAGCCAATACCGACATGGCCAGCCTGTTAGCAGAGTTATACTCAGCCTCTGCCTGCACTCTTGGACTCTGTACCACGCCCTTCCAACTGCCAATATGTGTCCCTCTACTTTTCTTTCGCTACATCTTGCACCCCGCAGCACGCAATTGCTGTGCTGGTGCATTCCTCGACTCAGTATGGTGGAGTGTGGGCGGTGAAGTGAGGAGGCGGTGGAGGATCTGTTGGAGGTACTCTGGGAAAGAAGGACTCAGCATGTTCCTGGCCCCCCTAGATAGGGTGAGGCCATTGGCTTTCACAAAGCTCAGCTCGCAATTCTACAGTTTTCTCACGAGCCACATACTATTACTGTTCCCACTGTTGCGCCCCTCCGTCTATCCTTTTACATTGCAGACTCAGCAAAGACCATCGCACCTCACTGTTAATATGTGCCCCTCTACTTTTCCTTCGCTACCTACTTGCGTTATGTAGTATGCGTTTATTGTGATGGTGCAGTCCTCGACTAACTATGATGGAGGGGGCGCTGGGGCGATTGCGGATTAGGCTGGGGATGGAGAGGCACCCAGCAGCGTACCAGCCCCCCCTGGACAACAGGGCGCGGCCACATGAGTTTAGCATAACACAGCCACACACAGGCCAGCCATCCAATGCGCAAACCCTAAGCCGCATTGAGCAACTGTGCTGTACCTTCCTCATTTACCTCGTCAGCCTCTACCTCGACTCCATCACGCCGCATGCCAGCTACTTTCAGCAAATTAATGTACTCAACAAGATTTCAGGCACTACTGGATCCAGGGCGTGGCCCCGCTCTAGCCCAGCCGCCATATGTGTTGTCTCACTCTCTAGCGCGGGATCGCTTTGCACATCAACATACGCTACGTCTGCAACACTGGGCCAACCACGAGTATCTGCGCCAACCCTTGACACACTTCTGGAAAACCACCCGGTTATCTCCATCTAACCGTCGACTTTGCTTATTGTTGCTTGCTACTCGCGACCTTAACCAACTAGTGGTTGGGACGGGTCACCCGCGGAGGAGATGGGACGGTGGTGGATATTCGTGGTGTTCGTGCGTGTTTGGCCGTTTCTCGGCGGCCCTGCAGCCACCTCCAGTTACAACTGCATAGGTCGCCAGCGCTACTTTCCCACCTGCACCTAGCAGTATATCACAGTCTCCCCCATTCCCTTGACCTACTTTGGGAGTGCTTAAACCGACACAACGATCAAGTTGACAGCTGTCTAGCATCTCCCTGAGGCATTGGCCCATGGGAGCACACGCCGAAAATCATGCAGGCCAGCACCACTAAAGGTCTCCTAGAGGGGGTCGGAGTAGATGGGGTCAAATAATCGCGCCGCATCGCCAATGCATCGCCGATGTTTCGACAATGCATCGGCGATGCACCGTCGATGTCGGCGATGCATCGGCGATGCATCGGCGATGCATCGGCGATGCATCGGCGATGCATCGGCGATGCATCGGCGACGTCGACGTGAAGCACATCGGGCGGCACATCGAACCGCATCGGCGATGCACAGGCGATGCGGCGCGATCCTCTGACCGCATCTACCCCATCGAGGAGGCCTAGAACCACTCAGCCAGCGCAGTGTCTTGCATGCGTAGCTCGGTTCCCCCTGTTCGATCCCTCCGTCTCTGCTGTGTTGTTTGGCTGAATGCTAATTTCTTCGTCGACCTCCTCCCCTCTCATATGTTGGATCCTCGGGGGACCTTGACTGTCCCGTCGTGACCCTATCCGCGTCGAATCTGTGCCGAATCCATGTCGAACTCGTCGGATCCGTGTCGAATATGTATCAAGTCCGCGTCGAGTCCACACCAACTCCGCGTCGAGTCCCTACCGTCGGGCACGAGAAAAGGCACAAATTCTGGGGACAGGCGAGGCCCCCCGAAGATGTAACGTAACCTCTCGTGCTGAGTGGCGAGCGCATACTCTGTACCCCTGCGGGCCTCTTTCTGTTGCATCCCTCTGCCGCCTTCCCGTCTACCCACTGCGCACGCCACTGTTCAGCTTTGCTTGCTTGCTACCTCGCCTAAGTCGGCGATTAGGCCTGGCATCATGCCCGCTCAACGCCACCAAGGAGGAGTAGGAGGAGGGGGAGGTGGTGGAGGAGGAGGAGGAGGGGGGGGAAGAGGGAGGGGAGGAGGATGGGGCGGAGGCGGAGGAGGAGGAGGAGAAGGAGGAGGAGGAGCAGGAGGAGGAGGAGGAGGAGGACGACGAGTAGGGGAAGGAGGAGGATGAGGAGGAGGAGGAGGAACAGGAGGAGGAGGAGGACGGCAGCACAGGATCAGATGTTTTCTCATGGCGTCCCTCCCCGAGTGGGGCCGCCTGGCCGACCTCGTCGGCGAACTCCTGCCGCATCAAGGCCTGCATCACCGCCAGGGCGGGCAGCCGGCCATCCTCCGGCCCGGGGAGGGGAGGGGCAGGGACGAGGCGGGGGAAGGGAGGAGAGGAGGGGAAGGGAGGAGGGGAAGGGAGGAGGGGAGGAGGGGAGGGGCGAGGACGAGGCGGAGGGAGGGAGGAAGGGAGGAGGGGAGGAGGAGGGGAGGGGGCGAGGACGAGGCGGGGGAAGGGAGGAAGGGGAAGGTTTTTCACTCCGACTCCAGGCGTTTCGCCTCGATGTCGGGAGCCCACTATCGGGCCCCGGAACGTCAACAATCTGTTCAGGGCGAAGAACTTCGGGGAAGGGGTCGGGACCTCTGGGGCCGCGCATTGAAAACTACAACGCACATCACCCTGATAACAGCGAGAGTGACATGTGGGACTTCTGGGGCAAATGGGAATTGTGGCACTTGTGTGATCTGTGGGACCTGTGGGACCTCTGTGGCCTGGTGGATCTGTGGGGCCTGTGGGAAAGGAGGGAGATGTGAACTTGTGCGACACGTTGGACCTGCAGGACCTGCGGGACCGGTGGGAATTGTGGGACCTGGGGGACCTCTGTGAGACCTGTGCGGGACTGTGGGACCTGTGGGACCTGTGGGACATGCGAGACCTGCCACACCTGTGGGATCCCCGGGACCTTTGTGGCCTGTGGGGCCCGCGGGACGTGCATGACCTGCAAAACCTGTGATGCCTATGGGACCTGTGGGATCTGTGGGACCTGCAAAACTTACGGGCCCTGTGTGACCTATGGGGCTGATGGGACCAGCAACACAAGTGGGACCTGTGAAACTTGATATTCGCGTGGGACCTGTAGAACCCGTGAGACCTGCGGGAATTGCGAGACCAGGTTTGAAGGGAGCTGGCGACTTGCAAGCAAAGCAGCAAAAGCGGTACCTATCATATTGATTGATGAGATCCTAGACACGTGAGAACAAACGCGTTCACTGGAAGTGTCTACCGCGTTTCGAAGTGGAGGAACTCCGATGGCCATGCGGGAGCTTGCGCGTTGACGTGGGAGCATGCGGGATCACCAACGGGGTTGGCCATTGCTTCAAAACATCAAGGGGGCCCTGGTGATTGTTCCGAAGCACCAAGGATTGGCTTGGTGCTTATGTCTACGCACCAGCGGGGGTTGGTGGCTGTTTCGAAGCACCAACGGGCCCAGCAGGGCTGGTGAATGTCCCGAAACACTGAGGGGGGCATGGTGCTTGTTACGAAGACCCGACGGGCCCGGGTGTTTGGCTCGAGCACTGGAGCTTGTTTCGTAACACAACTTGGTACTGAAGCACAACCGGGACGACTGCTTGTCTCAACGCACCAACGGTCCGTGATGCTTGTTTCGAAACGCCAACGGGCCTTGGTGCTTGTTTCGGAGCGACAGGAGTGGTTGTTATTTTTTCTCCGAAGCACGAAATGGGGCCTGAGTGTTTTTCGTAACACAAGAAGGACCTGGTGCTTGTGTCGAAGCATCACCTGTGCTGGCGGCTGTTTGGGAACACCCAAGGAGCCATGGCTCTTGTTTCGGAAGACCTAGGGAGGCCTGGTGCTTGTATCGAAACACCAACGGGGCTGGCGTTTGCTTCGAAGAATCAAAAGGGCTCTGGCGTTTGTCCGCCAGCCCCTTTGCGGAGCCGTCAGGCTCCGCGATTTAGGTTTGCTGCTCCCTGCTGTGAATTGTTAAAGTCCGCGCGAGGGGGGGGGGGGGGGGGGGGGCAAAAGGGCCCTGGCTACTTTCACATTGGGGATTCTCACATGTTCTGAGGGGGGGGCATGGGACACGTAAAAATACACGGGACTCGCGCCCCCGAAAACATAACACCGCGAAAATTACGCCGCCGTCGCGCCCCCGAGGCCACAATCCATCTGAATGTATGCAGTATTCGCATCCACGAGGCCATGAGCCCTCGCAAAGTACGCTGCGCTCGTTCCCGAGACCATCTCCCGGTAGATTACGCCGTCTTCGCCTCTCCGAGGCAATACACTTTCATAAATTACGCGATATGCATCTGGATACTTCAAGTCGCCCCCGTTCGGAGTTCTGACGCCACTTCACGAATGTGCCCAGGCATCACAACATAGCTCTTGCACACCCAATTCTCAGAGAAAGGGTGCCAGCGGCAGGGGGCGAAGCCCCTGCGGACTGTTAATCGCCTGCGGGCCCTGGCGCTTGCTTCGCAGCGCTGACGGGGCCCTGCTTCGAAACACCAAGGAGGCTGTTCCTCGTTTCGTCCACCAAGCGGGCCTTGGATCTTATTTCTTCGAAGGACCGACGTGCCATGGCGCTAGTTTCGAAGCGCTAACATGCCCTGGTCCTTGCTTAGGAGAACCAAGGGGCCCTGATGCTTGTTTCGAAGCACCAGCGTTCGAAGCACCATAGGGGCCCTGGTGTTTGTTTCGGATCATCAGCAGGGCCTGGGGCGTATGCCGAAGCACAAACGCGCCCTGGTGCTTGTTTTGAATCACCGGCAGGGACCTGGCGCCTGTTTCGAAACACCCAGGGACGCCAAGTTGTTTGTTTTGAAGCACCAGCAGGACCTGGTGCTCGTTACGAATCACCAACGGGGCTGGTGCTTGGTTCGAGGCATAAGGGGGCGCCTGATGCTCGGTTCGGATCACCAGCGGCCCCGGGCACTCATTTCGAGGCACCAATGGGAGCCCTGGTGTTTGCTTGCTTCGAAACACGAAGGGGGACCTGATGCTTGCTTCGGAGCGCCAACAGGCCCTCGTACTTTCTTCGAAGCACCAATAGTGCTGGCGTTTGCTTCGAAGCACAGGAAGGATGCTTGAATCGGTGCACCGACGGGGCTGGTGCTGATTTCGAAACACCAAATCAAAACCTGGTTCTTGTTTCGAACCACCACGGGGGGGCCTGGCGATTTGTTTCGAACAACCACGGTGGGGGGGGGGCTGGCGCTTGCCTCGAAGCACGAACGGGGCTGGCGCATGCTTCGAAGCACCCGGCGGTCCTGGTGCTTGTGTCGACGCACCAAGGGGAACCTGGTGCACGTGTCGAAGCACCTATGGGCTGGTGGTTGTTCCGGAGCACCACTGGGAACCTGCTGCCTGTTTCGAAACACCCAAGGGCGCCATGCTGCTGGTTTCGAAGCACCAGCGGGACCTGGCGCGTGTTTCGAAGCACGAGCGGGGCCAGGGCTTTGTTCGATGCACCAGGGGGGCCGGTTGCTCGTTTCGAATCACCAGCGGCCCTTGGCACCCATGTCGAGGCTGTACGGAGCGGCCTGGTGCTTGCTTCGAAGCACACAGGGGAGCCGGAGCGCCAACATGCCCCCGCACATTTTTCATAGCACCAATCGTCTTGGCGCTTGTTTCGAAGCACCAGGGAGGATGCTTGAATCGGTGCACCGACAAGGCTTGTGCTGGTCTCGAAACACCAAATCAAAGCCTGGTGCTTGCTTCAAAACGCCAAGGTGGCTGGTGCTTGCTTCGTACCACCACAGGGGCCAGATGATTGTGTCGAACAACCAAGGTGGATGGAGGCATGGCGCTTGCTTCGAGGCACCAACGGGGCTGGTGCATATTTCGAAGCACTCAGCGGGCCTGGTGCTTGTGTCGACGAACCACGGGGAGCTTGGTGCTTGTGTCGAAGCACCAGCGGGCTGGTTGCCGTTTCGAAGCAGCAACGGTGGCATGGGGCTCGCCTTGAAGCGCCAATGGGGATGGTGCTTGTTTCGCAGCACCAAAGAGAGCCTGGCGCTTGTTTCGAAACGCAAAGGGGGGAAAGCGGGGGGGGGGGGCTGATGCTTGTTTCGAGACACCAAAGAGAAAGCCTGGCGTTTGGTTTGAATCGCCACAGGAGCGATTCGAATCACCAAGGGGTCCTGGTGCATGCTGCGAAGCGCCAAGGGAGGCCTGGTATTTGTTTCGAAGCAGCAAGGTTGGCATCGTGCTACTGTCGAAACACCAAGGCAGTCCTGTCGCCTGTTTCGCTAAGAGGGGCCTGGTGCTTGCTTCAAAATACAAATGGGGGCCTGGTGCTTGTTTCGAAAAACCACACGGGGGCTGGTGCTTGCTCCGAAACACCAAGATGTGGTATGGTGCGAAGCACTCAGAGTGGCCGTGTGCTTGTTTCGGAGCTCCAAAAGGAATGCTAGCGCTTGCTTCGAAGCACGAGCGGGGGCCTGGTACTGGTGTGGAAGCACTGAAGGGAGTTTGGTTTTTGTTATGAAACACCCCAGGCCTGTTGCTGGCCTCGAAAGGTTAGCACACCAGTGGCGGCGCATGGGGCAGCCCGCCAGCGAGGGCGCACATCGGCCCTACCAGCGGCGCATGGGTCGGCCCCACCGGCGGCGCATGGACACGCCCCACCCGCGGCGCATATGCAGGCCTCACCAGCGCTGCATCGGTCGGCCTGTCAGCATCGGCGCACGAGTCGGCCCGCCATCGGCGGGGCATGGGTCGGCCCGCCAGCGGCTGCGCATGGGTCGCCACCACCTGCGGCGCATGGATCGGCCCGCCAGCTGCGGCGCATGGGTCGGCCTGCCAGCGGCGCATGGGTCCGGCACACCAGCAGCGGCGCATGGGTCGGCCCGCCACTAACAGCGCATTGGTCGGCCCCGCCAGCGGCGCATGGGTCGGCCCCAGCAACAACGCATGGGTCAGACCGTCAGCAACGCATAGGTCGGCTCCACCAGCGGCGCATTGATGTGTCGGCCCACCTGCGCAGCATGGGTCGGCCCGCCAGCGGAGGCGCACGGGTCGGCCCGCCAGCGGCAGCGAATGAATCGGCCCCACCAGCGGCGCATGAATCGGCCCGCCAGCGGCGGCGCATGGCTCGGTCCGCCAGCGGCGGCGCATGGCTCGGCACCACCAGCGGCGCATGGGTCGGCCACACAGGCGGCGCATGCGTCGGCCCCACCAGCAACCTATGGGTTGGGCCGCGGCGGCGCATGGGGCGGCCAGCCAACGACCGCGAATGGGTCGGCCCTACCAGCGGCGCATGCGCCGCCCCCACCCGCCAGCGGCGGCGCATGGGTTGGTCCCACCAGCGTCGCATGGGTCGACAACACCAGCGGCGCATGCGTCGGCCCCACCAGCAACCCATGGGTCGGCCCGCCAGCGGCAGCAGCGCATAGGTCTGCCCCACCAGCGGCGCATGGGTCGGCCCCACCAGCGGCGGCGCATAGGTCTGCCCCACCAGCGGCGCATGGGTCGGCATGTTTGGACGCCCGAAATGGGTACGGAAAGAATGGGTACAATGCCCAACAACAAATGCTGTCCCAAACCAACAGCGGCCGCTGTTGGGCAGGCGGCCTTCTGTCTCGAATGGACACAGGCCGCGGCGGCGTGTACAGCGAACCCTGTTCAAAATGAACAGGAACTGCTGTTGGGCATCGCACCCATGTTTTCGGTAACCATTTCGGGCGTCCAGAGCATGGGACGGCCCGCCGGCGGCAGCGCACCCGTCGGCCGGCCAGCGGCGACGCATGCGTCGGCCCATTAGCAGCGAACGAGTCGGCCCAGACAGCGGCGCACGGGCCGGCCCACCAGCGGCGCACGGGTCGGCCCGCCAGCGGCGGCGCATGGGCACGGGTCGGCCCCACCAGCTGTGCATGGGTCGGCCCGCCAGCGCATGGCAGAGACTCGTGGCCACCGCCAGCCCGAGGATCGTGGGCACGACTTCGGCCATGTCGCGCACCTCGCTGGCCCTTTGAGCCCGGTCTGCGCTCCAGCGCTGCGCCATCGGAACTGGATCGTGCGGTTCCCCGGGAACCGCCTCCAGGGGCCCGCCGGGCGCCTGGCGCACCGAAGGCCCCGATGAAAACTTGAGCCCCACTTGGCCGCAAACAGGGGGAGGACAGAGAGACAGGCAGGATAGACAGCACGGACACCCCCCAGCCCGTCCCAGCGTAAACCCTTATGTTCTCCTTCGCTCGAACTCTCACTGAGATCTGGGGTACCTCTGTGGCCTGTGGGACTCGTGGGGCCTGTGGGACCTGCCAGACTTGCGAGGCCTGTAGGACCTGTGGGACCTGGGGCACCTGTAAGACCTGCGGACATCTATTTCGTGACGCAGGAAGGCTGAAGTGGTGGAAACCCCTATGGCACTGCCACGCGGTCGCGACCTGGGAAGGCTGAAACCCACTGCCATCGCCATCGCCATCGCCATCGCCATCACCATCACCATCACCATCACCATCGCCATCACCATCGCCATGACCGCAATCAGCGTCGTCACTCCTTCGCCACTTGTCCCCCCTCTCCCACCGGGCGGACGGTGGACGAGCGGAGGGGCGTGTGGCGAGAGACGAGCCAGAAGGGAGGCGGGGGGAGGCGAAGAGCGGACGGCCGTCCTCCGCCCGCGGGAGGGGGTCCAGGACGGCCTCGACGTCGAAGGAGGACAGGGCTGCCTCCGCAGGCAGCGGCCGATCGGGGGTTGCCAGAAGTTGCTCCTGCCCCCCCCCCCCCCTCTCCTCCCTCTCCTCTTCGCCCCCTCTCCCTCTCCCACTCCTCCATGTCCTCCTCCTGAGGGAGGGCAAGGCCGCCTGGGCAGGCAGCAGTCGATCCATTCCCTCCTCCTTCTCCTCCTCCTCCTCCTCCTTCTCCTCCTTCTCCTCCTCCTCCTCCTCCTCCTCCTCCTCTTCCTCCTCCTCCTCCTCCTCCTCCTCCTCCTCCTCCCCCGCTTCTTCTCCTTATGCATAACTCTTCCCAGTCGCACCTCGAGGCCAATCGGAAGGGCGGGCTGGGCGGTTCGCCTGAGACTTCCTTACCACTGATGAGCCTCAAGCTTGAACGCTGACAGCAATGTCACAAATGGAGGGCGGGTCGCTTCCAAAAGGTGGCTCTCGGGTCGGGCGAAAGGGGGGATAGCAAAGGAGGGGTTTGATAATCAGCTCACGTAGCTGATTTTCCCGGCGCCTCCAGGCGCCGGAGGCGGCTATGTATCGAGGAATGGGCCCCTCGGTGAGGCCGAAACCAGCTCCATGCAGCAAATTTCGTAACCCCCCTTTCTCAATCCCCCCCTTTCGCCCGGCCCGAGGCTCTCACCTTAGCGCCGCGCACATTCGTTTCAGGCATGTGCGAGAGCTTCACGGATTGAGGACATATCGTGTTCACAGTGTGGCTCCCGCCTCAGCGCCGCGCACATTCGATGTAAACATTTGGATCAGTTTGGCGAAGAAGGGCCAATGGCTTTCAAAGTGTGGCTGTCGCCCTAGCGCCGAGCACCTTCGTTTCAAACAATTGCAAGGGGGTTCACGGATTGAGGGCGGATCGTTTTCAACATGTAACTCTCGCCTCAGCGCCGCGCGGATTCTTTTCAAACAAGTGCAAGAGCTTCAACATGTGGCTCTCGCCTCCGCGCCGCGCACAGTCGCACTCATTCCCAATCAGAGCTTGCCTCTGTAGGGGTCCTAGCGGATTCATATAGTTAGGTGAGGTGGGGCGCCGATTTGGTGGCCGGCGGCCGGGTGCCCGGGTGCCCGTGGGTGCCCGGTGCCCCAGGATTTCGGTGGCCGGTGGCCCGTGGGTGCCCGGGTGCTCGGGGGTGCCCAGAGGTGCCCGGGGGTGCCCGGGTCCCCTATAGCCATATAGCCCTATAGTCTCGTAGCTCTATAGCCCAATAGCCAAATAGCCCAATAGCCTAATAGCCTATATAGCCCATGTAGCCTTGAAGCCAAATAGCCCTATAGCTCTATAGCCCTATAGCCCTATAGCCCTATAGGCCTATGACCCTATAGCCCTAGAGCCTTAGAGCCCTATAGCTATACAGCCCTATAACCCTATAGCCCTATAGCCCTATAGCTCTATAGCCCTATAGCCCTATAGCCCTATAGCCCTATAGCCCTATAGTCCTATAGTCCTATAGCCCCTACAAACGAATAGCCCTATAGCCCTATAGCACTATACCCCATATAGCCAAATAGCCCATATAGCCCTATAGACCATAGCCCTATAGCCCTATAGTCTTGTAGCCCCATAGCCCCAACAAACATCTGATTGGGTTTTTTTCTCGGGTATCATACTTTTCAGAAGTTGCACTGGTTCTCATGGTGACGTCCCAGAAACGGTGTTTTCGAGCGGCTCAGACTGTCAGGGCACGACATTGACGTTGATATGCGATGTTGAAGTCACAGAAACGGCGCTCTGGCACGATTCAGGATCGTCGAGACGCAATAACTCTTTTGGCTCGTGGCGTTGAGGCCATGAAAATGATGTTTTGGCACGCTTCAGGATCTTCAAACGGTTGTCATCCAACGGGGCACGTCCCTCAGTGGAAATGAACCCTTGTAGGGGCCATGGCGAGGGAGCATGGAGGATGGGTTTGTTCCAACATCGTTGATGACCCCTCGGGTTTACACTGGCCCTCCTCCTCCTACTCCTGCTCCGCCTTCTCCTCCTTCCGAATTGGAGGAAGGCATGGCAGTTCGCTCTGTTGTGGAGGCCCTGACGCTCGCTGGGCATCGTGAGAGGGGCTATTGAAGCCATCTGGCATCCTGGGACACCATGGGGACAGCCTGGGCCAGGGACACCTTCGGCAACATCCGCGCCTCCTCCCTGCCTCGTGCCTCCTGCCTCCTCCACAATGCCTCGTGCCTCGTGCCTCCTGCTGCAAATTGCCTCCTGTCTCCTGTCTCCTCCTCATCATCCTGCCTCATGTCTCCTCCTCCTCCTCATCCTGCGACCTGTCTCCTCCTCCTCCTCCTCCTCCTGCCTCCTCTCTCCTCCTTCTCCTCCTCCTCCTCCTCCTGCTTCCACTGATGCCGCACAGGCCTCTGTGCAGACGCCGGGGCCATCCCGGGCCTGGAAGACGCTGAGGGGTGGGGAAGGCGCTCGAGGAGTCCGCTCGGGCACCGAGGTGCGCCCGGGCGAGTGGAAGGCCACCCGACCTAGACGTCAGGAACAGCTTGAACACCCGAGCCCCTTCTGGGCCGGACCTCCTCGAGTCAGGAACAGATAACGTCACAAAGCCACAGAGTCGCAAAGTCACAAAGCGACTCGGGAAGAAAAGCGGGTCCTGGGGAGCAGGTCGAAACTTTTTTCCCGACGACAGCCCGTCCAACATCGAAATGACCATGGTTCCTACAGCAAGGTGGCGGCACGGCGTGAGAACGCAGGCGCGCCAAGTCCGTTAGGAACGTTGACCTTACCAAGCTAAGGGACAAGCTACACTCCAGGCGATGCTTAAGAAAACCCAAGTTTTCGGCCAGAGTCTCGATTATTCTTAACGTTTCAGTGTAAATCCAAAGATTTTGATAGAAATTCTGGGTTTTTATTCAAATTCTGAGACTATGAATTTCTTAACCCATGATTTCTAAAGCATTTCGCAGGGTGTACTCTACAAGTCGAAATCTCTAGAAGCCGACGTTATGAAAAAAATGGCGTCGGGAGTCTGGGGAGCCCACAGTGGTCCTTCTGCTGCCAGCGCCGCGGCCGCCCTCCTCGCCCTCGCTGGTATGACATTGTGCAGGGTCGTAGCGAAGGCGCACTTTTCGAGTGCTGCATTCACGCGTGAAGACGCCCCCACTCCCCTCAGACCCCACTCAGGTAGTGAAAAGTCACGACGGGAAGTTGTTCGCTATCCTCCGCCTCGGGACCGTCGAAAAACGACTCTAGAGGCCTCCTAGATGTGGCCGAAGTAGAAGGAGTCTGAGAATCTCGCCGCATCGCCGATACATCGGCGATGCATCGGCGATGCACGGACGATGGTGCATCGTCGACGTGGGCGATGCATCGGCGACGTCGGCGTGGAGCAAATCGGGTTCCACATCGAGCCGCATCGCCGATGCATCGGCGATGCGGCGCGATCATCCGACCCCATCTGCTCGGAGCCCGTCTAGGAGGCCTAGAGACCCAGGACGAAAAGCTGGTCCCGGGGATGAGGTAGAGATCTCTGGGGGTCGGCGTTATGACAAAATCATGACGCCCAGGCTCTGAGGAGCCCACGCTGGTCCTCATGTCAGCGCCGCGGCCGCTTCTCCCCCCCTCGCTGTATGACACTGTGCATGGAAGTGGCGAAGGCGCACACGTCGAGTGCTGCATTCACGCGTGGACCGCCCCTTCTCCTCCTCCTCCTCCTCCTCACGCGTGGACCGCCCCTTCTCCTCCTCCTCCTCCTCCTCCTCCTCCTCCTCCTCCTCCTCCGTTTCCTCCTCCTCTTCC